TTCTGTCCCAAATACAAGCCCACACCATCAGCTTTACCCCTGGCCCCTTGGTAACTCCATGAATACAGTCTTTGTGCCACTTTTCTTCAGGTGTTCTGAACACCCATATACCCTTAGGATCCTTAGACTTTTCAATCAAGGATTCATCACTAAAGATGACTCCTTCAAAGTCTTCCTTTGTCCAATCCTTATACTTCATTGCCCAAGCTAACCTCTTAACAGCATGCTCATCCTTCAGAAGAGCTCTTTTCCTAGCTCTCCATTTCTTTATGTTGACTGAGGCTAAAGCTCTCTTGACTATTTAGAGGGAGGAATGTGGTGCAACATTATTGCGCAATTCTGATAAAGTCTGGCGGCGTGCCTTCTTAGACTCTCTGACTAGGCGGCGTTGGGTTCTGGAATCAATAATTTTGGGTCTTCCAGGTATAAGGAGGTTTTTTGCATCACCCCTCTTTTGGAAGCGGTCATGGAAAGTTTGAACAGTACTCTTTGGACGGTTTAAGAGCTCTCCAATCTCTCCAAAAAAGATTTTTTTTTTTCTCAGAGCAACTATTTGCCCTTTCTCAAACTCTGTAAGGTAGCCTGTCTTGTGTGGAGGCATCGTGGTTGAGGGGTGGTTGATTGTAGGAGTGGGGTGTTTTGAGGTGTCGTGCGGTAACCACCCATCGTACGGATCCTTTTGGCCTAGTACTTTACATTCAGAATATTGTTGTAGTACATACTTACATCCTAAAAATTAGGATAGAGCTCAGTTGTGTCTTAAGTTGTGGTACCAAGAACTATTGCATCCTGAGTTCTGGCCAGCATATACTTGCATTCTGAGTAATAGTTTATATCCCATCCTATATGTCCTCGGTACACATAGAAGCGTAATCGGTATGGCACGTAACTAAATGTATAAGGTCACATGTTCAACTCTGGGCCCTGCCATAGTTATCGTGACGACATCATATTATCGCATAGAACAATCAGGCATCTACTATGCAGCCAGCTCTACAGAAATACAAGGCACGCAACCGAGAGGTTTTCGCTGGATAACATAGAAGGAGCTCCACTCTACAAGATAAGACTAGAGTTCGTTACGGGGCCTCCAGGGCCCCGAAAAACATGGGCCCCCAGCCCCATTTCCTACCCTGGCCCGCTCACCGGCCTGGGGCAGGGCATTTTTGGAGGCTTGCCCTGCCCTGTCACCCACCAAGGGC